AGCTGTCAAAGCCGAAAGAAAAGAACTGAGATTGTATATTTCCCGAATATTTTATCTTAAAATTCTAAAATTTTTTCATCGTTTACATCTCTAATAGCACTTTAGAAACTTATAGCCTTTTCCTTGCTTATTTGCTTAAATATACAGCTATTGTAAAATTTATTTAGTACTTTTTAAATAAAGATTTGCATGTATGCGACATCAAGTTTGTTTACAACTGCAAAGAATATTTTCTTTTAATAATTCTATTGTCTTTAAGATGTTCTGGACATCTCTACAAGCTCTCCATCCTTCCTTTCATATGATAAGTTAAATATGCTAACTCCTGATTTTTTTTGCAACGGGAAAAAAATGTGAATTAGAATACAAAGGATTACGCCAACCTTCCTTCCAGTATTTCCATAGTCATAGCTCTCGACACGACGTCACGAGAAGCTAAATCCTTAGCCACTGGCGCGTATTTCTCCATGAAAAACTCTCCCTTAGAGTTGACGAGTTTGCCGCCTTCTCCACGGCTACCTTCGGTTATAAGTATGCCAGTTCCATAAATACCTACAGTGCAAAAATCAATCAGTTAAAAGAACTTGAATGAGGAAGAATAAGAGTTATCCGCGAAATGTGTAGCTGATCTGAAAATACCGGTCGGGTGAAACTGAATGAATTCCATGTCTTGCAACGGCAATCCTGCTCGACATGCGATTGCCATGCCGTCACCAGTGCAGGCGTGCGCAGCGGTGCAGGAGAAGTAACATCTTCCGGCACCACCTGTTGCAATCACCTGCGAGATGATAGTTTTTATCATCAATATCGATTTATTCGCATTATTAGTATATTTCATAATTAATATTAATACATTAATATATGAAAAATGAATAGCAAGCATTAAGCATCGACGAACAAAAAAGGAAATGTATTTAATATAATATATATTTAATATATATTATTAATTATAAAATTGAAAGATGTATTTGCAAATTTGCACATGAATATTATCAAGCAGCAAGATACGATTTGACTAAAAATAGGAATCTCTCTCTTATTTGAAAAAAGGAAATATTAATTATATACAATGTATTAATAAATAGTAATTATCTTTTTCTGTAAATTATATAGGCAGTAAATTAAATAAATATTACATAATATTTTGTAGCTTTCTCTTACTGTATGATGACCTCTGAATCGGTGTAGGAGTCCGGTCTCCAATTCCCAAGCCAGAACCCCTTTGCAACATCGACCGTACATAAGTAAATCGAGGGCGTAATACTCGATGAAATAATGCACATCGTAGCGAAGACTCTGGCCGTAAAGGGTATGAAGTACCGAATGACCGGTTCGATCAGCGACAGCACAGGTTCGTTTAGCTTGTCCGCCTTTGCCAAATTTTAACGACTGGCCACCAAAAGCACGCTGATATATTGTACCCTCATCTGTACGACTAAAGGGGCAGCCTACGAGTGTGTTAATATTTTTATTTAATATGTTTAATATTTTCTTGCTTAGATATGTAAATACAAATGAATAGAAAGATAGGTCAAACACGAACTTAAAAATAAGATGAAAGTTTATTAAGACATTAAACTATAACATAAAAGATATGAGAGTTTTTTACAATCATTAATATATGGAAACATTTCGACTTTACTTAGTGACTAAAGATTGAAATACTCCATATATTAATGATTGTAAAAACTCTCACATCTTTTATGTTATAGTAATGTGTTAATAAACTTTTATCTTATTTTTAAGTTTGTATTTGACCTATCTTCCTATTTATTTTTATTGAATATAAATCATGTATTAACATTTTCTAAATTATATATATACAATATGTGTGTGTGTGTGTGTGTGTGTGTGTGTTATACAAACATTTATGTGTGTAATATATAATAAATAATAAAATATTATTAACATATATGTATAATTTGTATAAAAAATATATATTAATATAAATATAAAATATTAATATAAATGATTATATATATATATATATAGCTTTTTTTAAAATAATTATATTTGTGATTCATTGAGTTTACCGTAATTTTCGAGTTCATAGACCGCTCGAGGCGCTTCCCTCGTGAGTAAATGTATAGCATCCTGATCCCCTAGCCAATCGGATCCCTTCACAGTATCATACATATGATACAGCCAATTATCATTTTGCTGATTGGAGATAGCAGCGTTTATGCCACCCTGGGCAGCTACGGTATGTGACCTAGTCGGAAAGAGTTTTGATACTACTGCTACACGATATCCTTTTTTACCAAGTCCAAAAGCCGCCCTCAATCCAGCACCACCTGCTCCTACTATTACTACATCATAGCAGTGGTCTATCAGAGGATAATTCTGTAAATTATATATATAGGAGCGTGGATAATATTAAGCAATAAAGTAAATATGCTAATTAAAGAATTTAGAATAGTTTATTATCCAAATGCGCTAAAAAAGATCAAATATATTAAGAAAATATTTCATTTATAATAAAAAAAGAGATACAGGATTAATACATTGTGTTTAAAAATAAATTTGCGTATTTCAGGAAAATGGAAATAGAATAGATAATGTGACTTATAAATTAAAAATAATTTACGTAATAATGTCAGGATATAAATATAAATATAAAGAAAAAGAGAGTAAAAGTTTATTTTTCGTTTTAATTTTTATAAAATATTTGATTATTTATAAAGATTTTGATTAAATAATTTTAATAAAATGTACTTACACTACCGTTTTCTTCCACGTTGCATTTTGCTTTTTCTCCTGGACTAACATTTACATGAAAGCTTCGCGAATTTATAATTGTTGCGCGAGATTGTCTCACGAATTTCTAGGAAAAAAATTGCTATTTATTTCAAATTAACCAATAACATACAATTAGTATCAGTATAAAATCTTACTAATATTCCGCTCGTTTGTATTAGTCGTCTGACCGATCGATGCAGCATCTTGATAAATATTTGTTAGGTTCAAATGCTCTTTAACAACTGTCAATAACTGTCATGACTGATAAAGCTTCATTTGTCAAATAATAAAACAAATGAAAAAAATTTAAATATTTTTATCGCACAAACTAATCATACGCATGTGATTTATAAGTAATTTTCTGGCGTAAACTTTAAGGAAAGATAAAAAGGGTTGCAGTTAAGGATTGCGATTCAAAGTTTCCTTTAAAAAAACTCGTGGAACTGGATCTGTTGAATTTGTATAAGCATCGCAATTTATTGCACTTGTAAAAATACAGTTTAGAACGTACATGATTTATGTCTATCGTATCCATACAATTAATTCAAAATGTATTCTAAGTTAGACGTCGAATCAGTTTTGTCAAACGCTTATCGCATTGTTACTCTTTGGTATACGTTACGAACACCAGAGAGCTAATAAATTTGACGAATCACTCTTGTTAGAATCGTTACAGTAATCTTTAATTAGCACGGTTTGTAAAATCTTATTAATCTATTTTTTCACATTTTCAGAACATTGAAAAAATAACTCCTTATTTCTTTCTAATATTTAAAAAATAAAATGTATGACAAAATTTATAAAAAAATCGACAACTTATTCTTGAATTTAAAAATCCATATCCTTGCCAGTGGAAATTCAAGGATTTCCATTTTTATTTTATTATCTTAAGACACGTTTATCAAATTCTGTACATCTTCTTTTACCTATAGATTCGAAACAAATTCTTTATATTTTCTGGGACATTTAATTCATATTTTGAACATATTTGTAATAAATAATCTTTTCTTATTGCATTAATTATTAAAGAATAAATACGAAAGGCTATCATTTCGTAAAATTTATGTGTGTATTTCTATAATAGTACATATTTAATTTACATATAATTAATCTTCTCTCACAAGACACGATTAAGTCTGTCTTTGTTAAGATTGATGGTTTACCTCCTACATGTATTGTCATATCGACACTTTGCATTTCATTATTCGTTAGCGACACATATTCATTGAGCGAGCACAATGCTTATATCGGCACGACTGATCTAATCACTAGCGATTTTCTAATCTTATTTTATGTTCAACCTTGTTACATGATATTAGATATAAGAATCTTATGAAGATTAGGCGAATTAAGTTAGTAGAAATTTCTTGGTAGAAATCTTTTGGCGAAAATAAAAATTGAAGTGTAAGTCGAATGTGAGAAAGTGATAAAAGCGTAAACGAAACTTTTAAGAGGAAAATTGAGATGTAAAACGCTTCTTTCATATTTCGTTATCTTAATTTTCTTTTGTTACTCTCTCCTTACATTTGACTTACATTTGTACACATTTTCACCAGAATACGTTTTCGCAGAATTAAATATTTAAAATTAAAAATTGAAGGGTATCTTAACATCTAAGTCACTTAGAGAAGTATATAAATAAATGTCGAATATAAAACAAAAAGAAGAATTTACTTTAATATATTTTAATTCCAAATAACAATCTGTGTTTTTTAATTCGTGATTCGCCTCTCACTAGAGTTAAAATGGATTAAACTAAATATATAATAATTTTAAAAAATCATATTCACACTTTTACGAGATATATTAATATTGATTCTCCTATTTTTAAGAGGAAATATACTTGCACGATTCTTTTCACTTGTATAAAAAGCTTATCAAAAAGTAGCACTCGTGAATTTGTAGAAAAGACATGGACTTGACAATCGCTCAGCGACTCTCGGTTTATATATATGTATATCATGTGTGACAAAAACGTTTATCAAATATATCACTAGACTACTCAAACATAGCGAACAAATCAACGCATTGTTTACAAAGCGAGCTAAAGTAAATTAAAAAAAATTCTTCTCCGGTGAGATATAAAAATGCTGTTTCGTAAAAGTTACTCTCGAAATTCTAAAATTTATAAAAGCTGTTTGAATTGTGTAGTGCTCTATATATTATCGCGATAAGGCAGTATAATCCATCGCCATATCAGAGAATATTTTTAAAATAGACTCGATCTTGCAAAATATTTTTGAAATTCTAAATTATAGCGTATCTTCTCTTCGGAAAATATATTCTTGATCTCGAGAAAATCTTTTTTGAAATAAAAAAATTAGAATGTACACTTTCAGCCAGAGAATTAGAATGTACACTTTTATCCAGAGAATATCTTTCTGGTCATATTTTTTCTTTAGTTCGAATATCAAAATACAATGTGATAGCAACGACTCTCGAAAAACAATGTTATGTTTCACAACGCAAGCCTTTTAACGCCACACTCGCAGCAAAACTTGGCGGTTTCTGGAAATCGCTGACCACATTCGTGACAGAACTTGGACATCTTGCACTTGGTCATCGTTTGAATCGGTGATGTCCCATTTCCGGGCACGTCCTCGTCGAGACGGTCGATCACGTCGTTGGTGCTGCGTCCATGATGCGAATATTTGCGATTTAAACTGGAGGGTACAAATCAAATTGAGTTTGAAGCAAGAACGCGAATGTAAATGAACGATGATTAAAACTTACAATTATCAAAAAGCAAATGACAGAATTTTTGGACTTGTAGAAATCTTCATATTTCATTAAATGAAATTTTCTCCATTAATATAAGATTAATTTCAGATAAAAATTAATAAAAACATTACTTAATAAATTTAGAGATAATAAATTTAGTTTTTGTAAAAAAGAGTAAAAATTTTTTACAGAAAGACTAAAATTTTTTTACAATAATTGTATTACTATAATTCTAAGATTTATCTTTTATTTAATTGGTAATTGATTAATCAATGAAAGCGAACGATGAAGTATACAAACAGTCACTTTAAAGTTTTTACCAACCTGCTGTAGGCGGAGTCATTACTGAGCTTGCTATGATCTTGTGGCTTGTAGCTGTCGGGAGAGGATAGTTCCTCGTCGCTGATCAGGCTGCCATTTCGTTGTCTGTCGCCGCCGGGGCTGGACAGGTCGAAGGATTCATTATTGAGGAAGGATTTTAATCCGGGAAACGTATCCTCCTCGAAGGATGTCATCAACTCGTCAAACATCGAGTTCGATCGCTTAACATCTAGCTCCGAGGAGGAGATGATCGAATTGAGACTGAGGTTACTGCCGGATAGGGACGAGTAATTATTGTTTCTTTGATTGAGACTCTGATCAGACGATCTCTGACTCTCAACTTTCTTGGAACCCTTTCTTATATCGCCTAAGGTCTTTCTGTCGGAACCCGAGTTGATTCTGGGCGCGGACGAGGCTCGGATCGAGTTGGACCGGTTGATTAATGATCCTGTATTCCTCAGCGTGTCTTTGTCAAAGATTTTACGCGGCCTATCCGCGCTGACGACACCGCGACGCTCGTCGACGCCCAGTGCTTTCGATTTATCGATAATAACTCGTCTGCCCAATTCTCTAACAGGTTTTGAGGTCGCGGAATCTGTCGCATCTTTGCCCGTGAGATTAGGCTTCAAGAAGACCTCGCGCGAAATAGAATTGGTTTCGGTGGAGTCACTTGAAAAATTGGATAAAAGGTCATCGAATTCAGTAGGTGGGGCTATAAGGGACGATCTCTTGTCGGTAGGAGGATATTTTACAAAGGCGGAGGAGTGCGAGAGAGGATAAAGGGTATCACGAGTTTGCTGGACTTTGGGACTCCCCGTCATAGACTGATCACTCGTGTCCGACAGTAGGTCATTCATCTGCTGTTCGGCCAGCAGAAAGGGATCGTAGTCCTTGCAAATGCCGCTGAAATTAGAATTTGTTTAGTACAACCTTTGATTCTACTTCATTGCTAGAAGCTTTCTTGCATAAAACGGTGAATATGAACATAGTGAACAAACATAGTGCGCGCAATATAGATGATGACAGAGTATGTTTTGCCTGTAAGGCAATTAAAAATAATGCTATTCTATTGCAGATCAGCTGTATGTGTGCCAATCGATCGATTCTTCAGACAAACGTGCATGCAAGCTCGTACGCGCATAGTGTACAACGTTATACAATCTATATTTGCTAGACATAAATAATTCTTTGAGAAATTTAGAATCAATTTCTCTTGAGTTAGTTTGATACATCGACTGCGAGTCGTGGGAAATAAAAAGCAAAATAAATAGAACGTTCTTATTTTAATATTTTATATAAAATCGATTTCATTATGTGTAACAAAATTTTAATTCAGGAGTTAATTATTAAGATGTTGAATGTTGAAATTTGCAAAGTTATGAAAAATAATAATTCGAGATATATGTATATATTTTTTTTTGATCAAGAAAAATTGATTCTCTAAATTCCGCAAAAAGCCAATATTGCATGGTTTTTAAAATCAATTCTATCTTTTATACTATTTTATAATGTGCTGAACTAGACTAGAATATATAATAATGAGCAATGAACATCAATAAGATAAAATAAAATATTTGAGGAGCAGACTTTCAAAAGGTGTTTTGTCCAAAATTTGTAATTTTCAAAAAATGAAAAACAACGCATACAAGAAAACTACTATACTTTATAGAAAATAAATAACAATACGTCAATCAGTAAGATGTGAAATATTAAACAAATGCATTTTGTTTGTTTCCAGTTAAAAAATATAATGCACTTCGAAATGTCTATGTTTTTTCAATATGTAAATTAACGATAAAAAAATGCTTTATGAACATCTCAGAGTAGCTTATAATATAAGTCATTCAACTAAACACTACGCCATCTCTAAAACTAAAAAAAAAAATGAAATTTTAGAAGTCACATTTTGAAAGTCTGCTCTTCATCTATTATGCCCTGCTCCTTCCCCACACTGGTCCCACGTCCTGGAACTTACGTTCTAGCCTTAAGCACGAGATTAAAGTCTGGCCTTCTGCGTACATAATTGCACCAAGCGGGACGTGTCTCCAATTCAATTTTCCTATAATGTTAACGTATTAACTACCTAACGGCTGTCTTACTAGAATACACAAAGATATGCAATAATATGAGAAATAGAAACAATTCTAAAGAAACAATTCTACTACTTACAGTGCGATTGGCAATGCGGTATAGATTCTTTTACCAATTAAATTGCAATTTGCACAAACTTATTACTACTTAAATATTAATATTACTATAACATGACTTATAACCAATTTAAAATCAACATTGCATTATTTTAAGCTAGTTAAATAGTTAATTTATATGAAAATTATGTGCTTTTCTAAATATAAATCTATATTAATTAAATACTCTAATGTTCTATAGTAAATAATATTAACATATAATAAAGAATAATATTAAAATCGACAATTCTACTTATAATACTATAAGTTTCCACTACTTTTATTATCTCTACCTTCCGTTGATTAAGAATGGATTCAGAACAGGAGGAAGAATACGGACTCTAGGATTTCTTTTAGTAAGCTTGTATTCCGTATGACACGTAGGATAGAGACTAGTTAATCTGCTCCGTGAGATCTTAGAAGTTTTCTCCCAGTACGATCCCTCAGAATCTTCCTTCGTCTCCGCCGCGTCGTCCTTTATATCAGGTAAATTCTTAAATACTTTGTGCCGCCTGTTCGGTCTGATTACCTCAATGGTCTCTTGTTCGTAAGTGCAATTCGCTTTAGGTCGTCTGATACTTGTGAGCTCTACGAATTCGACTGAGGATATCAAGGAATCAGTACTGCCACGAAAAAGATTCATGCTTTCCCTGATTCTGTGCTTCATTTCAATGGAATTGACTGATTGCTCTCGCGAAGCTCTTTTAGCCGCGCCACAAGCACGTTTTGGAAAATTCACGTCCGCGTTCAAGAAAATTTCGCTATCACGACGCCGTGACTGCTCCTCCGCGTAGTCCGTCAACGTGACTGATGACCCTAAACCATCAGCACCTCGTCTATTGTATTCCTCAACAAGCACAGTGTTATCGCTGCCATAATCGAATTCGCTGTCTACATTCTTCTTGCGCAAACCTTCACCTGTCGTAATTTCCGTTTTAATGATTGAACGGCCAAGAAGGCTTGATTTATCGTTCGAACAGCTGTTGTCTGAATCTGTGTTGAAATCTAGTTTTCCATTTTTTGTGTTATTCTCGATATTTCCAATGTTATCAGACCTGAAATCTTTTTCTTGAAATTGTCTGTTGTTTTTTACATGCAAAGATATGTTATTCGTAGATGCATTTAAGTAATTATCAGCAGCAATTTCCGAATTTTGTGGAAGAGAATATACTTCACGCTTTAATTTCTTTGAATTTCCCTTAGACTTTTTATTACAGATATTGATTAAACTATTTTCATATCTTTCTTCATCTATTTTAATTTCTTCAACATTTCTTGTACAATTTTTTTCCGGGGTAAGAATTGGAGAGGATACAGAAAATGATACTTCTTTGATATTTTCTGTTAAATCCAATGAATTGCGACACTTATGGCTTTGACGCGCTGACATTTCATTTTCGGGAGTCGAATTACAATCAGTTTGATTATTGCTAGTATTTAAAGATGTTATTTCATTAATCTTACGTTGATCACATGTAAAAGTTGCTATACTTTTTTTTAATTCAAGTGAATTATTGCAACGTGTATTATTTTCACATTGTTGTACTTCATCTTTAGAGTTCAGACAATCTTGACTCTGATCAATAAAATTCTTTTTCTTCGATACATTTGACGCAGTTGAATGTACTACATCAAATAAAGAAGATTTAATTAGTTGATCAGATTCGGATAAATTTTGCTCAATTTCTTTGGTATATTTCATACTTTCAGTAATTATTTCATTCATTATTATTTGTCGATCCTTTTTATTTTCTTTATGAACATTTAGTTTATTCAATTCTGCAATGTCTGTGCCATTTATTTTTTCAGTTTCTTTTATACCTTCTCTTACACTGATATTTATTTCTATTTTCTCAATATTATTTTCTGTAACTTCAGTCTCTTCATAGCTTCCTATTCGCTTATTTTCCTCAATACTATTTATATTAAGTTTCTCCATTGTATGTGCTACCACTTCAATTTTTTCACTATTGATTTTCCGAATATTTTTAATACTTTTATTATTTGTTTTCAGTTCCTCTACTTTACGATCTATTGTAATCTTATCATCTTCTTTATTTTTAATGCATTCTTTCACTTCTTCAATCTTAATTTTTTCGTCGTTTGCTATAATCTTTCTTTTCGATTTTTTTTGATCGAATTTGCAAATTTCATCTTCCCTATCTTTCAAATCCGCTACAATTTCCCTTTCCAATTTCCTTTGATCGAATTCGCAGATTTCATTTTCCCTATCTTTCAAATCATTCGCAATAGTTTCCCTTTTTGATTTCTTTTGATCAAATTTGCAGATTTCATCTTCCCTATCTTTCAAATTGTCCGCTACGATTTCCTTTTCCGATTTCCTTTGATCGAATTCGCAGATTTCGTTTTCCCTATCTATCAAGTCATTCGCTATAATTTCCCTTTCCGATTTTTTTTGAGCAACTTTGCAGACTTCGTTTTCTCTATGTTTCAAGTTGTTTGCTACGATTTTCCTTTCCGATTTTTTTTTATCAAATTCACAGATTTCATCTTCCCTATCTTTCAAAACGTCCGCTACGATTTCTCTTTCCGATTTTTTTTGATCGATTTCGCAGATTTCGTCTTCCCTATCTTTCAAGTCATTCGCAATAGTTTCCCTTTTCGATTTCTTTTGATAAAATTTGCAGACTTCGTCTTTTCTGTGTTTCAAGTTGTTTGCTACAGTTTTCTTTTCCGATTCTTTTTTATCAAATTCGCAGATTTCTTCCTTATCTTTTAAATAAAATTCCACGCGAGGACTGTGCTTAATCGGCTTCCACTTGCTATAAAAAATCTTCGATGACTCAATATCCTCCGAGTCTTTTATCAAATATGTTTGATTCAGATTCTGGATACCGCTGAACCATGTAATGTCATCGTTCTTTACTTTATCAACCTTGCAGTCTTTATGGGTTTGAATAAAATTATTTGCTATAATTGATAAATCTCCCTCTGTCTTATCTTTATTTTGATTTTCTCGATTACGTAACTGATCGAGATCGAGCAATTGGTATTCTCGCGAGAAATTATGATTAATAATTGGATCGTCAGCCTGAAAATTATCTTTCTTACGACTAATCTGCTTCCACGTCACTAACTGATCGTCTTTTTGCATGTTCATATGTATCCTACAAGGCTGTACAGTGATTCCTAGAGTCTTATCGTTCACGGCAACATTGTTGATTCTCGGATGACCTTGACTTCTAGCGGAAACGATATTTTGTATTCTGGCAGAATAGGTTTCTCGATTTCTCGTATCATCATTTGGAATACGTTGGGAGATCGTTTCGTTTTGATTAAACCTTTTTCTGGATGAAGTAATTGGCGATATAATTTCGTTAGAAGAAACCAAATCGTTAATCTTGGATCTCGTAGGAGGTACAGGTAAGTGGGGTGAATGACGGGAAGGTATCACAGGATGGAGAGATCGGCAAGATGTTGATGTCAGTGGACAGTCATGATCTTCCAGTGGCCTGAGGAGATGGAAGCAGGATCAAGGGCATGTGACTAATATAATCATCAGGAGAAGGTTGTCAGGGTTAAATAAAAAACAATTTTATAAAATAGATAATTGCTGAGAAAATATTTAAAAATGTATACTTATTTTAATCAATTATTTTAAGTAATTTTGTTATGAAATTAAATTCAAATATTTTTATATATTAAATTATCTCTATTAATGTTAATCAAAATTAATTACAGAATGCTTTTAAGCAGCCTTATCCTCTTTCCTTCTCCTCATGGGCGGAATATTAAAATCTATCCTACATTCTATACTTATTTTATCTCATACACACATAATCCACAGAGTTCATTTTTCAAATTAATCAAAAAGAAATTAATCACAAAAAATCTCACCTATTCATACGATCGGCAAGGCGTGACTTTATAGGTCCGGATGAAGGAGGGGAGTCCTTGAGTTGTCCAGGACGTCTCCTGTAAAAAGTATAAGTATATATCGTTAAATAACTACCAGGTTACCAGGTCTAAAATAAATCAGAAATGTTTATATGCAATATATTGTAAACTAGAAGCTATTGCATAAAAGGCGGATACTAGAAATATTAGGAAAAAAGAAGTATAGATGCAATATTTAAAAATATTAAAGAAAAAAAAGATTAAATCCAAGCAATAAACCTACGAACTTTTTTTCTTCTTTTTTCTTTTTTCTGAAAACACCTTTTTTAAGATAATAAATTAAAAGTGAATAAAAAAATAAGTAATTCTCATTTCTTCAAATTTCTGAGCAACTCACTGAAAAACTTCATTACTTTTTATTTATTGCACTATATTATCAAACAATTATTACAATTTACTTTTTTCTACAGAGAACATAAGGAGACTCAATTCGTTAGTGAGAAAAGCTTGAGAATTTGACTTACATAATAGCAGGTTTCTGCTTGACAGGACTCTCTCGATTGCAACTGACACTCGATATAGTCTCCTTTGGTTTAACGAGCGCCGGTGATGACAATGAAACCTTGGCAGCCTGGTTCGCTGCCGAGCCTGGGCTGTATTTTTCACGATTGATAGCTCGACGGTTTTTCAAAGTCGGTGCCCTGTACCTCATACGTGCCTCTAATCGTTCCTTTGCCAGATTGGTCGCCGGACTCACCGGCATTCGGATAACTCTGTCTTTGCACCAAGCCACATGACGATCATAGGCTTTGATACCGAACTGTCGGTTACACGTTGGGCATGTGCCCTTCTCGTTGGCGCGTGTTGGTGCACCCGACGAGATCAGCGAATTGCATTGGTTGCGCGAATCCATCTGGAAGAATAAATTTTGGAGATGTAAGAATTTAATTATGAATAAAAGATATAGAAATAAAAGCTATATTTTCTTCAATATAAATTGAACAAAGTGAAAACGAAATTTCTTATTTTTGATGTGAGAATTATTTCTTTCTATTTCACTTTCCACTTTGATGTAATCCGTTTAAAAAATTATTTAATACATTGTTTAAAATTTAGTTACGAGAAAGGAAGGACTCTTTCCAAAGCAATTAAGGATGTACACGTATTTTTTAACAAAATGAAAAAAATTATAGATTTTTCTATATAATTGTTATTTGAAAGTAATACAATAACTGTTTCATATATGTATATAATATTAACTTTTATATAAAAAAATATAAATTTGCAAATCTAGTCACTTTTTACGGAGACCATACACCTGATACATCCTTAACACACAAGAAGATCGCAAAAGAACTCACAACATCGCCGCGTGCCTCACGAATCGTCCGCAGGAAGTCGTCGTGAGTCTTCTTCCAGGTGGACCTGGACCTCTCGTCCTGCTGATGTCGCCGGATCTCCTGCTTAGGCTGGAATTCAGCCAACTCAGTACCTTGGATTCTCTGCTTAGCCGAGTCGAAGGGCTTGCGCTTTTTGGCGGCGGCGCGCTCACATATCCTCGTGTGCTTCTCCAAAGACTGCGACGTGAAGGTCCGCGCGCAAATCGCGCACGGAAACAAGATCGGCGACGGCGCATCTGCGTCCATTTACACGGTCCAACAATTAGTAGGCTTTCGCAATTTAAATTCCATGTAATAATAGTAGATGTTCTATATACGTATAGATGTTTTCTTTTTCTTTCTTTTATTATGAGCAAGACCACGAACTCCGGTCCTGGTCGCCAAACGATTAACCGAGATCAAACCCGTTGTGTCTTTGATACGACGTAAACGTGATTGATGTTTACTTTTTGAAAAATTAATAAATATTACACTTTCATCCTGTTTTTTTTAAATGTCCCGTATACGTGATACTGTGACATTTATCCCCGGCACGCTAATACGGAGATTCGATCTGACTCACCCCGTACTAATCGCTAATCGCTCTGACAAAGGCCATGAATCCGCGGATAATCGATATTTTCACCGACACATCGAGAGATCGCCAAATATGACAGTACACATGACGTAACGAAACTTAGAACATATATGCGCACATACGTTAAAGGCGAAATCTTGTGTGAGTACAAAACACGTGCTCGTCATCGCAGTCTGTCTTCGGTTGATTAAATATAATTTAAAATCTAATGTTCAACTTTTTCATTTTTCTAAATAAATGCATCCCTAAAAATATATTTCACACTGTTCTATACACGATAATACATTATTTATTATGTATGTATGTATTTATTATATATTAGTATTATTTTTTTAAGTGTATTTAATGGATTTTTAATTTTCATTTCTCGAAATAAACAGATCTTTAAAGGTACATTAAAAAAAAATCCTTTTTCATTATGTTCCATTTGTATATAATATATTATGTTTGAGTCGAAATGTAAAAGCCACTATATTCAGTAAATAAAAAAATGAGATAGTCTCTTAGATAGAATCTTTAAACTTCTTAGGATTTTTATCTCGAATTGAACATTTTAGACTGTAAAATCAATTGTGTAAAAAAAGTTACAGATTAAATTCTATAAAATCAAGAAAGAAAAGTGGATCGCGTTATAAGAAAATTCAATTATCTACTTTTTAGTCAGACTAATCTATGCTTATTAATTTTTTTGTTGACAAAATGTTGCTTCTATGTTAATATTTTATTTTCATTTGAATTTAACATAAACATAAAAGCATAAAAAGTATCGTTCTTTTTCAATAAATAATTAAATGTGATGATTCGTAACAGGATAATAGCAATGCTTTTTAATATCATAAAAATTCTATTTAATTCAATAAAATACTTGAAAATTTTGTATCAATATTTTGGTTCTGTAAGAGGTAAATCCTTTCTCTGCAGCTGCAAAGTAATCAAGTGCGTTGTATTTTAATAAATAGAAATTGTATTTTAATAAATAAAATATTTCTCATGCCATATTAATTAAAACAATAGATTTTTTATTTTTCAAAAAAAGTCTCAATAGTTTGAAGAAGAAAAATTATACAAGTTTTTTGCTCTTGCCAAAAACGCCAAAAAATTTCAAGTAAAGATAACTAAATACTTTTGCAAATGAGCTATTCATTTGTTATATACGCTCTACTTTTCCCTTGATAATCTCACTTTCTTTCCCGCGAAAAAAACGCAAGACTTCGGAAACACTACGTAGCTCGCGATGAAACGTGCTGCGATTGGAAATGTCGAGAATCTAAATTGCAAATTGCACTTTCTTCGATCGCCGTATTGCGCAACGACTAACTACAGTCTTCTCTTCTTGCAAGATCACACACTTCGAGAGTGCCCTAATTAATATGAGATATGCATTGCGAGATAACGCCTCTATTCAATAAGCCATTCATTTTTAAAGATGACACGAATCCTACATTTCCTGTCCTATGGAAATTTCAATGAGACAAGTAGATCGATTCTTGCAATATCTGATATTGCATCACCGTTCCAATGAAAGCAACGAATCATTTCCAGCACATCGCAAGAGTGCAAAAGTAAATAAATTTTCCACATATACGTGTATATGTACATATAAAGCTTTATTCACTTTTATTTCCATATCTTCATGTTTGCTTAAAAATCCTATTTCATTGTTTTCTATAAAAAAGAGAGGAGAATATTCGGAAATGTTCCCCTATTTCTGAATCTATTTCTAATACCCCAAACAGCACTTTCGCAAATTCGGAATAAACGATAAATTCAAAATAAGAATCGATTCGCGACGCGAGGGCTACGATATGTACTTCTGCAATACCACGAATGATTTTAATCGCGCACTCGTTAGTTTCGTGGCTTTTATCCGATCGAACCTCGCTTCGAGAGAGACTCCTCGTTTTCTCAATTCTATTAAGCGACCAATTCTCAGGTGCGTATATCGCGCGGACGCACCTGCGGCGCCGACTCGCGCGGCCACGCCGCGTCGCACCGACGAGGACGTCGAGGACATCGAAGAGGCCGAGGGGGTCGCCCCCGCGAGACTCGACTCTCTCGCCTCTCGAGTGAGCAAGCTTCCTTTTTTAGGCGTCACCGAGATTCGAGTTGTCTCGCTGCGAGAGTCACGCGTGTCCCCTATCCGTCACGAACACACGCAAAAGTATCCGTTCCTTCCGTCCTCAGATCCTTCTCTTCTCTTCCTTCTCTTCTCTTCTCTTCTCTTCTCTTCTCTTCTCTTCTCTTCTCTTTTTTTCTCTTCTCTTCTCTTCTCTTTTCTTCTCTTCTCTTCTCTTCTCCCCTTCTTCCTCTTTCTCAAGCAAAGAAACACAAGTGTCTCTCTCTTTCAGCTAAACTTCTTGCATGGTTCATATTTTCTTTTTTTCTCTTCAGGTTGGAAAAAAAGAAAATAAAAGAGAAACTAATTTTTAATGCAAGTTCAATTAAAAAGAAACAGGCTTATAATTTCGTTGTTAACGATCTTTTATTCCTTCCTCATTCATTATTTTTTTCGTAGATTCGAGCGAATAGATTATTTGATCTCATACTGAAGGTTTCTTCAATGTCGATGCGAAGAGAAAGATAGTCGCGTCTTTTTAAATGCGTCGAGAGAATGCAGGTATTTGCCTTCGTTTGCTACGCAGGTTTCACGTCATTGTACAATGCGTGGATTACGATCGCATTATATATTATTCATGACACGTATATAAAATCCTTTTACCTCGCAGTCTATTATGTCACCCATTCCATCAAATTCTATTTATGATTCTTAATTTTCATTTAAAGCTTTTTCTTATTTTGTTAAATTTCCATTTTCTGCACTTTTTCTAATCTCTTAATCTAATCTCGAGCGGCGAGAGATCTTCGGCAATTCATATGCGTAACAACAAACAGGCGCTGTTAAAATGATCTCATTGCGTCGAAACCGCTTTAGCGACGCCCACAAACGCGATTGCTTCTATTCTGTTTGCGTTTTCCTTCCAGAGTCGCGCGCGTTGGAAACAAACCGGTGAAGGTTTTTTTTTGCTTTTTCACGTCAGAGCTATTGCCGTTTTTCCCTCGTCTAAGATCGACGGGACTCTTAATGCAATTGCTAAGTCGGTGCAAATTGATCAGTATGCATGACGGAGGTGTGTTATTACGATTCTTATAGCCGCTTTTAGATGTGTGCGAGTAGCAGGAAAATAAATATTTTCACCGACACTAAATGTGAAATAAAAAGGAAATCCAAAGTAGCTCTTCGAGGAACGAGGCAATAATGATTAATGATAGCCGTGCGTAGCTACTGAAGTTGTTCTGTTAATTTAAAGCACTTCATAAATTACCGTGCAATTTATTTAAAAGAGAAGAAAGATAAAATGTTAAAACAATCAAATTTGTAATGCAATTATTGTAGCAAATTCTAATATTTTTCAAACAAATTAACAAATTTTTAGAAGTTATAATTACATGCCGATAATAATGCGATGCCGTGTAGTAATTGAAGTTATTCGGCTTTTGATTTGGAAAGTAAGTTTGGACGTCAACTGGTATTTATACAAATGTAAACAAAGACTTATATTCTAAATATGTAATACATAATATCAACAGCGACAGAGTACTCAACATAATTCCGAAAATATCGAACCATGTTAATTTTCACAGGAATCGATCGCGTTAATTTATAAATATTTAATATCCATTAATTAACGTTCTTTAAATTATACGCGATTAACTTGCATTCATTAGTCTTATCGCAAAACATACTTTATGAAACCAATAGTAGAGGCCAGATAAACATAGAGTATGTACCTTCCCAACAATTCATCGTCCAATCGTTTAAAAGATTCGAATGTTCGCGCGAACAACATTCGATTACTCAATGTAATTCAAGAAATAATGATACCTGAGAAGCAATGTTTAAAAAACGCGGGCTCACCTTCGGGAAACAGCTCGATTTGAATCTTACGAATAGACGATGGTGGTGGACTGTTATCGGTCTCGTCATGAAACAAGATCCCGTCGTGGAACAGGGCCTCGTCGTAGAACGGGCCCCCGTCCGCGAGTCTCTTCGGGACACAGCACAGCATCTGATTACGAGCGCATCAAGACACCGACTGAGAGAACGCGCGACTTGCGAGAGTCGCGAGGTCAGACCGGCTCTTGTAAGAGCGGCGCTCTTACAATCGTTATAACCGCGAGTATCTTCGCGACGGAAGTTTATTTTCGGTCCCGACTCGCCGTCTCATGAAGCGAATCTCGCTCCTTTTCTCGCCTCTTTCTTTAGTACACCTTGGCTGCACTAACGTGGGTAAACAGTGTAAAGTGGGGGTGCCAAAGAAAAATATTCGATGGTTCTCGTTCTTCTAGAAATTCTTTTAGAAATTTCTTTCAAAATCAACGTTGCTGAAGTCAACTTCGTAACGTATGGTCTCTGATCTTCTATTACACAATTATATTATAATCGAAAATATTGCTTCCCGTTATCTAACATTTTATATTAAATTTAATATTATCTTTTAATATTAAATTCGTAGCATATCATCATAGCATATCATTAAATTTTATTGTTATTCGAAAACAAATTTTCACTTTTGATAGGAAGGTAAATTTCTACTTCTTTTATTGCTGCCGCGAATATAAGTACTTCAAAGTATAAATAATAAATAATTTGAGATTTATTCACCACTATCTACTATCTCAAATTGACGTCAGAAAAGAGGAAGGGCACAATAAAAATTCTTGCAAATTATATTTAAATAGAAATATTTTTCAATAAAGCATTTGTAATCATATAGAATAGATTTATAAAATATATCAAATATTATCTTCTTGTTTCGGAGAGAAATTAAATGTTATTTCATATTTCTATATATATTATTATTAATTTAACAGTTTGTCACAGTTCATTTCATTTTTATGCATTTCCAAATACATATGATTATTTATTAATTAACGAAACAAAAAAAGAGTTTTTACAAATTTATATTTTACATATTGATATTCTATCGATTTAAGTGATTTTATTGAAATATATTTGCAATATTAATATATTAATGTATTTTGCAGGAATTTTTATTGTACATTTTCTCACAATTTGAGATAACGATGAAGAGTAGACAACTGTCTTAAATTAAACTTTACTGATTATTTTTTTCTCTGTATATAAAAATTCGCGATTTCCCTCGGAGAAAAAGCTTCTCTAATGTTACTTCTTCCTTCCATAACTACACCGGTAACCACAACAACTCTTATCTTATATACAGCAAGCAACACAACAAACAAATTGAATTATTATAAGAAGAAAAGGAGAAAAAAAAAATATATCAAGCCAATATTATTATTAATTTTTTTTCTTTTAAGTGCCTATTGAAATAAATTTAACAAAATAAAGCAATTGGAGATTCATGCTGTGATATAAATGATATTAAAAAAGACTACAAGCACAGTATAATGATTATCTACCATGTGCATCTTCCTTGCATTCATTCCACGTGTGCACTCATAAAATCCTCTTAAAGCCTCTATTACGAAATAGAGGTCGATAGCTTCTTTCCCCGCGATATTTCTCGTAACTGTGCATCGGTGACCACGGCTGTGTGCTGTTTACCCTATAATTAGAATGGACGGGGATCGTGAGGAGCGAGCGCGTCGAGGAACCGGAAGCGGACCACAACGACGGTGACGACGGTAACAGGAAAAGCTACGGAGAAAGTGGGACCGGCCCGGGAATCTCTCACTTTGTTTGCCACTCGCACGTCGTAAATATACCCGCGCGACAATGCACACTCGCACTTACTTACCCTCAGCTTCAGCCATGTTCGTCGTTAGGGGAAACACTGGTTGTTATGGAAACGCCGTTGCCAATCCCTCCTTGGAGAACAGCTATGAAGCTCAAGGCAGGATCGCATTTCTCAAAAGCCTCTCGCAATATTTTCAATTTAATCCTAGCATAAAAGAAACTCTGTTGTGCATAAATTCTTTTATATAAAAGACATATGAGAATTGAACTACAAAACATAAATCTCTGTATTGAAAAATATATTATATATACAAGTTTTTATACAGACTTTAAGAAATTAAATTAAGAGTTAGACATGCAGGGTATTCGCAGAAAAACATCTAATAAATATCTTAATATAAATATTTTTTATAAAAAAAAGGAACACAGCTATATAGCTCAAGCAGAAATAATTTTGAAGATATATCAATGTTATTCTAATATATTTTTCTAATCTATCTTATTTCTGAAGTCAGAGAGTTGGAGCTTATTATAGTTGGAATTTACAGTGTTCAAATGTTGAACACTGATGACATCTGTTATTCAAAGAGATCTACAGCCGAGAACATTGCGCTTTCTGTACGCATCAGCTGATCGCCATGCATGCGTCAAACATGTGCAGATGCACATGATTTCAACCAAATTCCGATTAATATAATATCTAAAATTAATTCAATTGGTACTTTATTATTAAATTATTTTATTATAAAAGAATGTTTAATTATATAATTCATAATTTCTAATATGATCTTTTTTCCATAATTAACAACAAAAAATTTATTTTATTTATATAATATATAATAATTATATTAATAAAATGGTATCTTACACAGATATTGCTTTGATAAATTAATCACTGATATATGTTGAGATTATCTACTGAGATTGTTAGTTAAGCACTCATTAAGATTTTTCATTTTGCTTATATTTTGCACATTTTATTTTCTTGTTTCGTCTTTTTTTCAATACCAAAACATAAAAAAATGTTCGAAAAAGTAAAATAAAAAGTAAATAAAATAAATTTCTTGGTGAGGGATCGATCTACATTATTTTGACTGCATTAGGTATAATTATGATGCATTTTCTATGAAAATTCGAAATTTTCTGAACTTGTTTAAAAGAAATTACAACTTTGATTTAAAAATCGATTTATTCTTTTTAAATTTCGCGGGCTCATGATGACGTATGTCATCCATATCGTATTATGACCTTGCCCAACGATAAGCGCTGTTTATTATGCCTTGGAAAGCAAGTCTCACGTCACAGTATAAGTCGGTGTTGTCGAGTTCAAAGTACGCGATACACCTCGCATTAAACTAACCTAAATTTCTTATCTAGAATCTTGTACTATACAAAGTGCAGTGTCGTGACGAAATGATAGTTATCTCGAGATTCGTTACCAAAAACGGCTTCACCGTTTCTCAGGTATTTTATGTTGCAATTATGTGTTTGATCTAATGGAAAACTACATAATTATATAATGTTTGTACGACATCATCATTCGCGATTATGTACGTTGCACTTTGCAATGTTGTGTGCGCATCACGGAACTATTTTATTCGCACATGCTCGATGCTGATTGGTTTGTGAGAAAATAAAGGAATTGTGGGAACATTTCAAACAACGCGCGAAAATCCGAGTTCTCACTAATTAGTTTTGTGATAATTATTAATTTAAATTGTTAATCCATAATATTATTCAATATTGCAGGGAAGATATATCGCAAGAACATTATCCACCGAGAAGAAATATGTGGAGACAACTGAAAAAAATGGGGTAGAAATATTATTTATTTTTACTTTTCTAATACCCATTTCTATTAATGTAAATTAACTTATTTAATCTCGATTTAATTTACTCTTTATCTTTTCCTCATTCTTAGAACAAGAAAAAGATAAAAAAAGCAAATCGAGATTGAAGTTAACCTACACTAATAGAAATGGACATTATAGTTATATTTTTTTTATTCTGTGTAAATAATTTAATTCTAATTCTATTTATTATTTATGTATTTATTAAATTTGTGATAATTTAAAAGCTTATATATATAACACTTGAAATTTTAATTATCACAATATTATAGAAATTATTAAAAATTTTTGTTTATTTACAATATTAACAATAATTGTTGTCAAATTTTGCTAACTTACAATCTCAATTCTATTATTAGTTACAATTACGATTCAGCAATTATATTAATAATTACAATTATCTTTTTTTCGATACTCAAAAGATCAATTAATTTTATTTCACAATCAGGTCAGAACTATTCGTTTGTGCGACTCTTCTTCCCGCAACTCCTTATCGCTAGGGATGCTAAAAACTTTGGTGACAGAGATCAAGAGAGATGAGGACAACAAGGACCTCCGGTCGATTGTACTGATGTCTGAACCAGGAAAGGTGTTTTCTGCCGGGCACAATCTGAAGGAACTGGTTTGTAGCTATGGTCTCACTTCCATAAGAGCTCCTCTTCATATTCATCGCACAGAAAAAAGTATCATCGGCTCACATCGTTTAGACGGCTACGAACGCCAAGTCTCACAAGGATGTGTTTGAGATCTGTTCGGAGTTGATGCGGGCCATCAGTCAGAGTCCGGTGCCAGTAATCGCAGCGGTGGACGGTTTGGCAGCAGCAGCCGGCTGTCAATTAGTTGCGGCGTGTGATATCGCGGTGTGCACTGAAAGAAGTTCGTTCTCCACTCCAGGGTACTCCCGCAAAATTTTACTTTTCATGATTTATTGTCACATAATTATTATCTTATTAATCATATTAATTTTATTTATCATATATTATTGATTATATTATTTCAGTATTATTGAAAATGTTACTTATTATTTTTTATTCAATGCCTTTCACAGAGCGAATGTCGGGATATTTTGCTCCACACCGGGTATACCACTGGTACGCAATGTGCCAAGGAAGAACGCAATGTACATGCTGTTTACTGGATTTCCTATATCCGGCAAAGAAGCTTATGAATGCGGTCTCGTTAGTAAAGTTGTGGCGAATGACAAGCTCGGTAAGTCACTAACGAAAAAATGAGAAAGATTAGAAAAAGTAATACAAAAATTAAATCGAAACATAGTAAATTAATTTTAAATTATTGTATTTTAAGAAGTTAAGCTATTTAAAAAGAAAAACTATTGGAAATTATTTTTGTAAAGAGGCAGAAAATAATTATCTTCTTCTTTTTATTATCTTTTTTTTAAGAATTCATAAGAAAACACACACATACACACACACACACTTTTCCGAGAATGATATATTAACATATTCGCAACTGTTGACAATATTGTTACATTTTTGTATAAAGTGTGTTTAACTGATTGATCTAAGTATATTTCTTAAAATTTATAGCTATAACTAGCTGTAAATATGTTATCAATGTAATGCTGATTAGTTATAAATTTTAAAAAACCATTGCCATTGATATAATGACACGTCTTTTTATATTTGAAGTTCAAATTGATTAAACAGATTGCAGATCCAGTTAGTTTTATCTAAAATGTAAAAGATTTCTACAAAATTTATTTTACAAATTAAATATCTACCTTTTATTATATTTAAAACACTTAAAATACTACGAAAATAATTTATATTAATTTTTTCGTGTTTTTCCGTCGAAAATACATAAATAATTTTATTTTATTTTGAAAGAAAAATAAAATTATTTACGTATTTTCGACGGAAAAACACGAAAAAATTAATATAAATTATTTTCGTAGTATTTTAAGTGTTTTAAATATAAAAGGTAAAGATAGATATTTAATTTGTAAAATAAATTTTGCAGAAATCTTTCATATTTTCAAAAATATTTTATAAAATATTTATAAATATGAAATTATTTTTATATATAGTTTAAAATATATAATTAATTTTTTTTTATGTAAAAGTATTTAATTTATTTTATTTTTTATGTAAAAATATTTATATTTAATTAATTTTTTCGAATATACATACATGCAATTAACTTTAAAACTATCTGTTTTTAACATTTCCTGCTTTCAATTTGACATTTTTTTCTATTTAGACTTGTAACAAGTACATTTTCTCCAATTTTAAAGAACTAATATTAGAGTAACAGAGCAAAATCTTATAGTTTTATTTTTATTTTAATGACGAGTGTCTGGCAATATAGCTGTACAGATTTAAGTTTATTATATTGGGCTTTTAAAGTTTCCGATTGGAAAGTGTTAACGTATACTAGTACACATATATTAACATATTAATATTATAAATATATTTATATTATTTTCACTTTTTATTTAATAAAATAGTAACGTATTTACACAATTCATTTATCATGACGTATACATTTTCACGAATCTTATCCAGACATACGATAGTGTCTCGGCGCTAAAGTTATATTTAACTTCGATTTCAGACGAGGAAATTCGTCGAATTACAGACGCAATTAACATGAAGAGCCGCTCGGTTGTGCATTTTGGTAAAACATTCCTGTACGAACAAATTACTCTTGATATATCGACAGCATATGCTCTCGGCACTGAAAAAATGGTAAATAATCTGAAAATGAAAGATGCTCAAGAAGGAATACAAAGTTTTCTGGAAAAGAGGAAGCCGAATTGGTCCCATGATTTAGAATAATTGATTATATCTAACATTTCTTTTATTATATATAATATTGATTATATATAACATTTTTTTAAATGTGAAACCTTCTTACAATTGATATTAGTGAGTGTGATATTTTATACTTGTATATAATTTCAATAATAAAATAATTAAAAGGATGTTTTGTACATAATTTGCATCTCTGTGAACACGTTTTGTACATAATTTGTATCTCTGTGAACAATGTTCATAGTTCAATCCATTAATCAGAAATGTAGAAAAACATTGATTAAATATTATAGAATCAAAGTTTAAATAACGGTAATAATCTCTCTCTCTCTGTCTCAAAACTTAATAAAAAAATATTAAAAAATCGTTAAAATTTTTATTTCATAATGATTTCAAATATAATAAGAAAAGGAGATTTATTTTTAAGTGAAATTATAAATCCTTAATATCAAAAGTAAATAGTTTATAGATTGATATCTTAAATTGAAACTAATGAAAAGTAGAGATACATCGGATCGTAAAATTACCGGATACCGAATATCCGAAAAGAGTGTAATATCGAATATCCAGTATCCGGACAAATATCCGGGAAGATAATTTTTTGAATCCGATATTTTCCGAATATCCGATTGGATTCTGGGACAATATCTTTTAAAAAAAAAACTAAAGAAAAAAATTATAATTTTGCTAATCTAAGATATAGTATTGAGTATGCATACTTATTTATAGAACATTTATATAATAAAAAATCAACGTAATGATATAAAGACAGATTTTATAGTGCGATAAACGGTAATTTTTTGCTGAGGATGGCTCAAATAGTGAGTCGAAACGTATAAAATTGATTTTGTGATATATTAATAGGTATTAGTTAACTGCGTAATATAATATCCAGTTGGCTCTTAACGCCCATTTGTATTTTGTTATACATTATTTTTTCATTGTATTAATTTTAAGGAGTCTATAAATTTTGTATTATATTTCTTTACTTGAATTTGTTAATAATATAAAATTTTAACCGGATATGTTTTTGGATACTAAAATAATATCCGAATATCCAGTCGGATAGTAAAAAAGTACCGAATAATACCAGATATCGGATACTCTTCGGATATCCAGTGCATTTCTAATGAAAATTATAATAAAAGTACGTAACAAAAATTAGTATTAAATTCCATGTAAATATTGACTTATTTACAAATCTAGTTCAAATGTATTGAAGTATAAAAATTGTATATTAAATACAATGACTGTGTTAATTCATATCACAGACATTAATTCATATTTAATGTTGAATATTGCCTTTGATTTTTTCATGTAAAAATCTGAAAGTATGCAATTATCTGTTTTCGCTTAAAAAAATTACCATATCGTAAAATGTATGCATTAAATAACATTCAGTGAAATGCAAAAATAGAAATACAGAAAAGTACGAGTAAGTATATCGTGTTTGTGGCACGTGATATTTTTTAACTATTTTTATGTTATGTTTATAACATTTTTTTATTTTGTAAAATTATTTATTTTTATAAAAAAGTAAATATAATTAAAAAAAGTATAATTATGAATAAATCCAAAACTTCGTCAAATTTTTCATTTAACAAATGAAAAATGTTTTGTCAAATTACAGATTAATTAAAACAGATTGATCAAAGGAATATATATATTACACAATTTGCCCAATTATTTGCTTTAATCAAATGCAATAAATATAAATATCGAAGCACGCACAAAACGTCATTGCTATATGTTGATGCAACCATTGATGCAACTGTCCTATTTATGATAAACGACAAAGGAGAAACATTTAACACAAGGAAAGTAACGTCCGTAATAAGATTCGCGATGATAAAAAGCATGAACATTTGTTCTCGGTCTCGTTTTGATAAATTTGTTTATTACGATATAACGTCTTGCCCTCCTTCTTGAGAAATCTTCGTTTGTGGTCTTCATAGCAGACTAATATGAAAAATGAGAAAAATTCAGAAAAGATTTTCAACGTTCTGTCTGATAAACGATTTGAATCGTTTCCGGTTGGTATTCAAATAATAAAAAATGTAATCTCTACACTTACAATTCAATTGAAATATTTAGACGCCCGTTGTTTAAGTATTTTTTCTTCTTCTACAGTATTATTCTACGGTATTATTCGGATTTAAGTTTTGAACTCTCGTATTATTGCATCAGAATCAGACTACGACACTGCAGGTTCTTACTCATTGAAGACGATAAGACCGAGTCCACGGTGGTCGGGCAACGTCAGTGTCTCGAAGGCCGCCGATATGCCGTTCTTATTATGACGAAAAAAAAGCATCTCTCTTTCTCTGTCCGTCTCGATTCCGTTATCTTCCTTGCTTTTTTCCCTGCCGAGCTTATAAGTGATGACCGCCGTCGCGTTGGGAACCAGTAATCACGTTGGATTATTTCGGAATAGATCCCGAAGTCAAAAAGAAGCTACTCACGACGAGTCACAAATAACAAACAAATAGCGACGTAAAGCGGAAGTATAGTCTCTTTCGTACATCGACGACAAAGACAAGACTTTCCTTTGGTTGATGAATCTTACCGAGACCATCATTGTTGGCGGCTGCCTGAGGCTTGAAGCTTCCCGGAGGATCGAAATTCGAAGGACAAATCGAGACAAGAAAAGAGGAAGCACACCGAAGGCGAGCCTGGCGATAGAAAGACAATTTACGAAAAGGCAGATAACGGAATTGCTTTTCGAGAATTGCATCGGTCAGTTGGATTTGGCGAAAAACGTAGAAAATATTTATTCATGAGAGCAACTTTAACAGCGTTTGCGAACTCCTTTGAGTTTTTACGAATTTAAAAAGGGATGAAATGCACATTTAGATTTTAGAGAACAAAAAGAAGAACAAATAAAGTATATAAAATATAACCAAGATAAATTATGTCAACTGGGCGTGATTGCGATTTATTATTCCTATATGAAATGGTGCTTTGACATTTATAATATTATAAGTAGTGAAGAGGCGTAATTATCTTTATGATCAAAGATCACGTTTTGTAAGTTGGCGAAACAAAATAAGTAGATTGAATTAATGTTAATATTTGTATTTGTTATTTACATTTATTTCGCAATGGATTTGAAACTTGGATATTTAGATAGCAACAAATTCCTACGTTATTATTGAATATAATTTTTTTGTTATATATTTGTATATATTGTTCTGCTAACTTAATCTTCCTTTAGCGAAACATATCATTTTTTAAGAAAACTTACAGAATAAGTTTTTTCCTCTGACACCTTTTCAGTAACAAATAAAAATATTAGTTAGCAGAATTGATTCTACTCACTTTGTTCCGTTTACTTATAAGACGTACGAAGATCAAAGCTTAATGATATAAAGGCATGATAATGAGACATAAATAGCTATGAATGTATAAGAAGATATACGTAACCCACACACATGCACATAGATATAATATACACTATAGTTGTACACAGCACTCTGATATTGTTTTGATTCACATGACTAAATTCGAGATATATGTATTTCCTCTTTAAACAACATTTAATACTTGCTAAATTATTGCTAAACTAATTTTCTTTTTTGAGATTAGTAGGATTTCTTGAAGTATTTTTTGATAGTAAAACATGCATGTATCGCAATTATTGCATACATACATATTCATTATAGACGTAACAATTTAATCGATAAAATTCAAATCGTTATATCATTAATTACTAGTAATTTTAACTTGTTATCAAGAAATATCTTAGCATAAATAATGTCAATAATAAAGAGCAAATCAATTCATTAGTTACTAATATAAATGTTTTATATAGATTCAATTATTATGAAAAGTATTATATATGAAATATTGATACTGTAGAACATATCAAACTTTAATCTATGTACAAGAAACATTAATTATTTAATCGTTACAATAAATTAATTATAATAACATTCAATTTTGTAGACTGTGGAAAAATGGCTTCCATTCCGCAGAGTGCTTTCGCAGTGTGTAAAGTTCGCTATAACGAGGAGCAAACTGTTTCTATGATGAAGAAAAAAGAAAAAACTGAAGAAAAGAAGGAAAACGTATTCAATCCGAGGCCTCCTCTAGAGGGTAAGTAAAGAGTTCTTATTTGGTTTCACTATTTTTATAAATTCAATTTCCGTTCCAGACGGATACACTTCAATTTTTTAAATTTCATTTATACTTGTACATTTGATTTTTTTTAATATGTAGGTTGGGAACTAATGCCACTCAAGTACAACAGTAAACTGATGAATAGCATTTGGGGCTTGTACAATCGCTATTCGGTGCATAATTTTAAGAAGAACACTGACGCCGAGAAGGGGGCCCGCGGTGGGATGGCCGTGGCAATCTGGGGCACCATTTTCGAGAACCAGCCCTCAGCCAATGCCGCCGCATAAGAACCGGAAATCGCCTTTAAAATTTTAAATGCGATGCTGCCAACTGTAACTTCAAAAAATTGAAAAATAATAGTTGGGAATGAACAATTTATATAATTACAATATAAAATGGGATAATGAATAAATATATGTATATATATATATATAACATATTTTAAAAAATACGTATATACGAAAGATATATTAGTAATTATACGTATATACAAATTTTATTGAGGCTCCTAATAGCCATTTTAATGTTTACACTGTGAGATTTCGCCTTATAATTTGTTATTATCATACAATACTATTTCAATATCATTGCATATAACGCGTCGTTGTAAAATGTTATTCATTTTGATTCTAAAAACCAGGCTGTTGTTTATATCTATAATAAGGCAATACAAAAATCAATTGTGTTATTTGCAACGCAATAGTCGAGAAGGACTTTGTAGCAGTATTTAAATGTTTATTTTGTTTAGGAATTTGTTTGAGATCGATTCAGTTTCTGATCGATTAGTCGGGAATAAAAACTTTAAATGATTCCCATTTTTGCAGATAAAAATTTGCGTGAAAACACGAATCTTGTCATATAGTGCGAAACACAACTATATATTGTACTATATTTGTGAAATATCGCGAAATATCCACTTTACATGTACACGTATAGTAATTGATAATGAACTATGTGATCGCTTTATGTATTATTGTAATAAAGTAAATACTAAATAAATAAATTAACATTAATAAATTACATTTGTGTCAAACATTAATATAATATATTATATAATATATTATATAATATATCATACAATATATTATAGGACTGTATATATGTGTGTAATAACATAAACTATAGAAATCAAAGTCTTAAACAATCTAGCTAGATCTTAAATGCTTGTATGATTCTTGTGTGAATTTATATTTAATATTTCATTCTGTACCAAACAACAAAAAAATAAAAATTTCTGTCGATGTTATAACAAAATACTAGAGATATTACTTATTTTCTCAAGTTAATATTTATTAAATTAATCGAAGTTTAGTCGAAGTCATCTACAATCCCTGATGTCACTGACTCAACTACTATTATAGTTACTACCTGCCGGCAATTGTAGCAACCTAGCAAACTTCATGACGTTCCATGTGACATATTGGACGCGGAAATCAATCTTTTGATTTGTAAAAAAGTTCGATCGGAGTCGTCGAGAGCGCGTTTTATCGAGACGTAATCACATTTACTAATATAATGGGCGTCTAATCAATAGAGAAAAAGGACGAAAGAAATGGCTCTCTACGACAATCAACATTGGCTTTTGTCGCACATCAGAGACAGTTTTCTCGCGACGGACGACACAGGTATATACTTCTGATAAATTTAGGTTAGAATCGTAGGCAGAGATATTACTTCGATCCGGAAATATTCTGAAATAATATTTCCGATGATGTCGATGACTCATGCTTATTCTAAGATAAATTAAATTAAAATTAATTGTTCCTATATTAATGTGATTCAGTAAATAAGCCAAATGCCTTAAGTATTTATTTATGTTCTATATTACAATTAATTTATTTTGAATTGTAATTTATTTATTTTTTGCTGTATATGTCTTATATTACTCTTGGGCTGTGTTCTGATATACATTGTCATTGTTGCAAATCTATAATTTATATATACTATGTATTTTCATATTGATAATAATGTATCAGAACACAATTTTGATTGAAAGGTATGTGCGACATGGTGATACTAGGAGAAGATATTCCTAAGCAATTGAAGAAAAATGGCACCCTGCAATGTTATCCTGGTATGGAAGAAAGTGATGACGAGGATTTAGATGTGATGGCAGAATCATATGACATACAAATGGGTACATACTTCTGTTTTCTATTATTTTATGTAAGAGTATCATGTAAAATCCAAATTGGAATTAATTCAGTTAGAGTCCATAAAATAATTTTTATAACATAATTTATTATAATTAAAACTAAATTAAAGTGTAATTAATTCTATTGAATTGCTTAATTATTATGCTTTTTTTAATACGTCGTTCTAGAAATGCCATTCAGTCACAGACAGAGATCTAATACTGCACAAAGATTAGAAAAAATGGATATAGAAAGAAAAAAGGCTGCCAAAATCAAGCATGTTAAATGGGAACACAATCTTAGTGCTGTGACACCTGCAGATCAATCAGATCTATTTCAAAGAAAAGATTTTCGTAGGAAAACTCCACTTAAAAAAGGACAATCTCTTTTATCGGAACAACTTGAAAAATGTCCATATTTACCACCAAATCCATTTAAAGAATATATCAAATTTGATGGCGACGTATGTATCTGTTTTCTATTTCCTTCAAAAAGTTCATTTCCAAAAAAAATCTCTTAAAAGATGAAAATTATATATTACAAGATTTAGCAAAAAAAATTGAGATTATGCATTATAAAATTATTCTTATGAGCTTCATTCTTAAAAAATATGGTTTTACAATATTCAAAAAAGATTCTTTACGCAGACACAAGTGAGCGTTCCTGTGAGAAAGTACAGGATATTCATGTGTATGTTGCCGAAAGAGGACAGGACGTATCCGCTTCAAGCAGCAGTGATAGTAACAGCACGAGTGTTGGACTTCATTGGGTTGATTTGCTATAAATATGCAATTGAACATCCCGACCATAATTTGAAGTCTGTAACAAGTTACTTTATTGCTAGAACGCATATGACTTATTCATAGTTCCGTCGGCCGTTACTTCCAGGGAGGATATTTCACATTATGGACTGTACATCACTGAGGATGACGGTGAGATAGACTGGGCCTTTCCTTGTTTAGACCCACACGAAACTATCTCCAAATTCGAATTCACTACACTGGGCTTGATCGAGATGAAGCCAAGTGATAAAGCACGATACAACACAATAAGTTGCATTGAGAAAAAAGATGAAGAGATCTTGGACGGTAAAGACAAGGAGCAGGAGGAAGTTGCAAAGGACTTGGCCAAGATGGAAGGTCATACTACTGCGATGGAGGCGCCATTATATCAGTCATATAGGTATTTCCTTAATATATTACATACAATATCATATCAAGTTTTTTATGAAATAATTGTTAAAATAAATACATTGAAATAACAGCAAATAACATGTAAATAAAAATATAGAAAAGTGATGAAAATTAAAGAAAAGTGCAGTGTTGAAAACATATATAATAATTAAATTGTAATAAAGCAACAGAATAATATAAGATTCATAATTATCGTTGTGTGTGTGTGCGCGCGCGCGTTCAGATTGTATTTTTTTAAGAATATTCAAATCTCCAAAAATTACAGAGTATATATAATTAACAAAATGCGAGCAAAAACTGAGATTCATCTTGGAATATCGGGCGAAAAGATAGAGATAGATCCAGTAATAACAGGCAAAGGTGCTGCTAGATTTTGGAATAGACAACGGGCAGTCAGTTATCACATAGACAACATCGCATGGTGCGAAGTGACCGAGACTAAGGGATCGAAAACTATATTTACACTGGTTTATACTCCACAATCCAGCGCTCCGGATAATATTCTGAGTCAGTTATTTTCTTTTTATATAATTATATATTGATCATTTCACTTTATGATAAAAATTAATATTTCATAAACTGACGTTTTAAATTTACTGATGGTGCTATAGGTCAAAGTCATTCGCTACATCAATCAGCATCTTTCAAGAATCATGATTTCGAAGCAGATTCAGTGACGGCTGAAGAGATTGTACGAAAAATTAATCACATCCTAGAGCTACATAGCAGTCAGTCAAGGAAGGAATATCTCGCACAGAAAGAGAGGAAAGCAGCAAGAAGAAAGAGCTTCCATCTGCATAGATGACAGCTCTATTGGTTATTCCGTACAATCTTAGATTATTTAAAGCATTGAATATTAGTATATCATAAAACGTGATCGTAAGAGTCACTCTAAGAAATATCTTTTCATACAACCGAGTTAATATCTCGAATTTTGTTGAACGTACCAGAAATGGCAGGAGAGAGAGAGAGAGAGAGAGAGAGAGAGATTTTTTCCATATTTCATAGATATAAAGTTTAATGCTGTATAATATTGGTAAATTATTTTGTATTTATTATGTTTCATCTGGTATATATATAATTATGAATGTAAATGTGCCACAATCACACAAATAAGTATTGTATAATCAATCGTGCTTAGTGTTGTCATATTTAATTAATTTAAGTGTTATTTATATTTTTATTATGAAGCTCCTACTATCTGTAAATTTGTAGAATTGAAAAAATAAACGATTCCTAAAACTATTGCTGATCTGCTTCATTGTTCTGAGATTTCAATAACATTTACAGTGGCCTTTGATATATTATCCTTCATTCTTTCCACGAATTTCTCATTCAGTTTATGTATGTGTTGACTGAGCTTAGATATTTTTAATGCTACATCTAATAATTTCTGACTATTTTTGCAGATGTGTTCATAATTGGGACGTGTCAAGACAAAAGTTCTTTCGGCTTCTGTCAGTATATTTATGTCGAGAACCTGTCCCTGTCCCTCCATGCTTGTTTTCTGTTTGGTCAAGTTCTTCCGTTGAGCTTTGCGATTTCTATACTCCTGTTGCCAGTCCTTTCGCTCCTGCCTGAGTTTATCTATATATTCCCTCAGATTAAAAGTCTCAACAGCATCCTTTGCATTGCATTCTTTTTCTTTTTGGTTTGGTCCATTTCCATTGGTTATAACTCCATTGTCATCTAAAAGACATATTTTGTTTATCATTATAATATATTAATATATAAGTAATTTCATATTTTACATGGAACAAATAAATACAAAATAAATTTATCTGAAAGAAGATATAACTACAGTTACTAGAGTCGGTTTCTTTTATGCTTGTTTCCATCAATGTAGATTAATTTTAATCTCAGTTCAACTTACTCTTCGTCTTTTTCTAATTCTAAAGATTAGAAAAAGACAAAGAGTAAGTTGAACCGAGATTAAAATTAATCTACGTTGGTGGAAAT